AGGCTGAGAGGGTTCCCCGGCAGCCCCCCCGCCAAGGGGGACTGACAGGGGTGGCGAGGCTTCGGAGGCGCCCCATTCCCTGGACGCCTCCCCGGTGCCTCGCCGACCGGCGCGAGCTTCATCGGTGGCTGGCGGTTACTGATAACCCGCCAATTGAGCCTTGAACAGTCAGGCACCACCTCCACTCGCTGGGACCGCCGGGCCACAACCTAGAGCCTCTCCTCGCAAGCGAGGATCATCAGCACCCTGGACAGCCCCCCATCGGTTAATAACCGACGTGACCTAAACACAAACCGATGTAGGCCATCCCGGGCTCCCAGCGGTTAATCGAACATCCCAGCGGTTATTTGATATCCCAGCGGTTAATTCAACATCCCAGCGGTTATTTCAACATCCCAGCGGTTATTTGATGATCCCAGCGGTTAATTGTCCCAGCGGTTAATCCCAGCGGTTAATTCCAGCGGTTAATCGTCCCAGCGGTTAGTCCCAGCGGTTAATCCCAGCGGTTAATTGTCCCAGCGGTTAATCCCAGCGGTTAATTGTCCCAGCGGTTAATCCCAGCGGTTAATTCCAGCGGTTAATCGTCCCAGCGGTTAGTCCCAGCGGTTAATCCCAGCGGTTAATTGTCCCAGCGGTTAATCCCAGCGGTTAATTGTCCCAGCGGTTAATCCCAGCGGTTAATTCACATCCTAGCGGTTATATATCCAAAGGTTCGGGATCCCAGCGGTTAGTGAAGGTGCCAACGGCCGTACGAACATGGTGTTAATGAATTTGTGTGGCGTGGCGAGGTGCCAACGGCTGTACGAACATGGTGTTAATGAATTTGTGTGGCGTGGCGAGGTGCCAACGGCCGTACGAACATGGTGTTAATGAATTTGTGTGGCGTGGCGAGGTGCCAACGGCCGTACGAACATGGTGTTAATGAATTTGTGTGGCGTGGCGAGGTGCCAAAGGCCGTTCTCTGCCTCCGGACGGGTGGCGCAAAGCAGCCAAACCTTCACTTACTACTACTACTACTATTACTACTACTACTACTACTACTACTACTACTACTACTACTACTACTACTACTACTACTACTACTACAGCTTCTGCAAACACTGCTTGGGCTTTCGGTGCTTCAGCTTCTGCAAACACTGCTTGGGCTTTCGGGGCTTCAGCTTCTGCAAACACTGCTTGGGCTTTCGGGGCTTCTGCTTCTGCAAACACTGCTTGGGCTTTCGGTGCTTCAGCTTCTGCAAACACTGCTTGGCTTTCGGGGCTTCAGCTTCTGCATACACAGCACATAAATAGTTTATCAGTTTTGCAAGTAGATCTTTGCAGTCCTGGCATCCAGGACGGTAAATATAGCGGTTATGCAGTCCTGGCATCCAGGACGGTACGTATAGTGGTTATGGTCCGGTTATGGTTGTTACACTGCGTAGGTTTTCGTAGTACTAGTACTAGTAGAAAGCATATTATGCAGGAGTCTTTGTTGACTAGCTGTCACAATCAAACATATACACGTACGGCGTGGCGAGGCGCCAACAGCCATTACAACTCACGGTGGGCGGCACTTCAAGCAATCAGTCGCAACCAACCAACCGACCGACCAACACTCCAGCACATGCATCAAGCCAGGGACACAACCACCATCCAACACATGCATCAAGCCAGGCACACAACCACCATCCAACACATGCATCAAGCCAGGCACACAACCGACCAACAGGTGCAAGCCTTCAGAGCCAAGCACACAACCGACCAACAGGTGCAAGCCTTCAAGCAATCAGTCCCAAGCACAACCAGCGTTCCTCGAGATTCTACAACTGCCACTGCGACTGCAAACACAGCTTGGCTTTCGGTGCTTCAGTTTCTGCAAACACTGCTTGGCTTTCGGGGCTTCAGCTTCTGCAAACACTGCTTGGCTTTCGGGGCTTCAGCCTCTGCAAACACGGTTTGGCTTTCGGTGCTTTTGACAGCATTATGCAGGATTCTTTGTTATGGGTTTGAACAGTTCAGGCGTGGAACCCAGTTTTTGTTTGCAGGCTTTTGATTTGGAGTTTGTGCAAGCTTTGGCCAGGGTTTAGGATCAAGGCGGATGTTGCGAGGGGGAGCACCTCCACCCGATGGCCAAGGGGGAGCAACTCCACCCGAGGCCATGCATGCACTAGATTGGGAACAAGAGAGGTTTCGGGAATATCGGTATTAAGGGGTGTATATGTGAATGCATCCTCCCTTTTTTTGGGGAGGCCTTGGCCCTTGCGGTTTCAAACTTGGAACCTAAACTTGCAAGCTTCGGGACTATGGAATGTTGTTTGGTTGCATTGTGGCAAGTTCTTCCTTAAGCCGAAATCTAAACCCTCAACCCCCAAACCTGAAGCCCCAACTTTGGAAACCCTAAACCCTAAAACCCTTAAGAGACCTGCGGCGTCCTCTTTTTTTTCGGCGACGCGGCGCTTCTTCTTCGCCGTCGCCCCGGGCAAGCGTTGCCAGAGAAACACTTGTTTCGTCAGGTAACGTCTTGCCCAGGTGCGAGGCTGAGAAGTCACGTGGCAGCCGGCCGAAACAATCTTGAGGAACTTCATATGATCCTTATCCAAAAAATTCGCAGCATGGTAAAAGTTGAGCTTGTGGCAGCGCAGCTCATCCACCAAATGCTGCGTGTAATGCATCTTCGGCCGAAGTTTGTACAAGCAGATGCCTTTTCGATGAAATCGTGCAGCAGCGTGAGCATAACTCAGAAGGAACGTATCGAAACACCATTGTGATTCGATAATCTCCTCTGGCTTGAGAAAGGGTTTACTGCCAGTTCCCCCAACACTCAATGCTGCATCCAAGCACCATACCATCGTTGCCCTGCACCTCGACCAATGCACCGTGTCTGAGGGTGCGTCACCAGACACCAGTATTTCCAGTTGACAGCAGTAATAAGCGGTAAACGCCAGCAAGTTTCTGGTCCGACTTGCTTTTATACGGCTTGTGAGCTCAGGGTAGATAGCCTTCTTGTTGGCATGTAAAGTTTCCCACGTCAGCGGCTTCATCGAGCAATCCAGGCCACGATCCTTGCAGAAACTTTGGGCTTCCGCAGTCCACCTGTGAAGAAGCTGATCTGGGCTGCCATCGAATTGCAAGAAAGCTGCCATCTCGCCCGATCTCACGGTCTCAACCAGAATGGAAGCCACAAGGTCCCGGATGTAACCCAGATGGGCGAGGTGCATAACTTGGTTGAGCAGTGCATCTTACAGTATTCGAGCACTACATAACCAAAAGCCATAAAAAAGCCATCCAGGAATGCTGTTAATGCGACCTAGAGGCTGTCAAACAGGCGGCGGCGCTTGGTGAAGCCCTTGACTGAGCACCAAACAGATCGTTCTTCTTGGTGTGGCAGCGGCTCATGGTAGCTGCATGTAGAGCGCCACAGAGCTGACGAAGAAAAGTCTGTGAAAGTCAGCTGTTTGTCCCGGCTCGATGCCCAACACCAATCGCATATCGAAGGCTTGTTATAGTGCCTCTGAAGATTGTGTGATTTTGCATGAGCTTCCATATCTCCAGCCCAATATGAGAAGCATGCTCGGATCCCAATGTTTTGGCCAATCTTTTGGGCTCGCGCTGAGCCAGCTGGCCACGGAACGTCGTTGTGGTCGCAGGATGGAAAAACGCCACGTTCCAGTGCTCGAAGATCCCAAGCGATGATGTCAGCGATGCAGCGTCTCGTTTCGGGCGCGACACGACTGTTCGTGACACCAACAATGCCTTTAATTGTTGTTGTCCATCATATACATATATATATATATATATATGTATATGGTCAGCTAGCTCTGTTGTCCAACTAAAAGAATATTGCTAATCGAAAATTTCCGAGGGACAGAAGCGAGAGATCTCGCTTCCGCGGCTAGCCAAAGGCGTGGTCCAAGACCAGAAGTTGCATGTTTCGCTCTTAGTTGTTGGTACACCATCCTCATGAAAGCGTAATGGAAGCATGTCCTGGTAGTTGGGATTGTTCCGGGAGATCTCCCGTATGTAAACCTGGTCCCGTTCTTGCTTCCACCATTCATCTACTGACCTGAGATATCAAAGCAGGAAATGTGCGTCCATGAGCAATACATGCACCAACAATGAACCAAGCAATCAGGCGCGGGCCGAGGTGCGAATGTCCAATAAGACAGGTTTCCACCAGTGATCTTTTGCAAAGCTCGCAGAGAACATCACTGGGAAGACAGAAAGCTGTTTTCTCAAATATCAGTTGTTTGTCCTTGCGTTCTTTGGTGTTGCTCCACACAGGCAAATCCACCAGCAGGGGCTGGATGGGTAACTTCATCCAGCGGAAGAAATCCCTCTCCCGTTCGCTGCTTGCCATTTGTGAAAGGGCAAGTCCAGATGCCCCATCTCGCCGGAAGGCAGATGCTATTCTGCTTGTTTCGGCCACAGGTATCGCCTCAGAATGTGTGTTCTGGCTGCAAGGTCCAAGAGTGTTGCACACGGACTATATAGCTGACGTGCTTGGATACATCCAAGTCAAGAGTCTCCAGCACCCATGCGCTGGGCCAGTAAAGCTGCACCAGCGGAGTCAAAGTCATCTGCGGTCCTTGCTCCAGTGGCGTGTTTATGCTTATTGCATATATTGCGGTCCCAGCAGCATCCCACGACGACGTGTCGTAAAGGCAGGCCGACCAGACTCTGTCAAGGGCACGTACCTGGCAACAATGTTTTTCATTCCTTCCACCCCATCACGTGAAACCCCGTCAGGGCATCTGCAGCAAGCAATTTTTGGCACCAGAGCGACGATCGATTCCCCAAGGATTGTGAAAGTCGAGAGCACTGGCTTGGGTCCTCGAGCCCTTGGGCGAGGACCCTACACCAACTGTACGTTATCAGTGTCGGACACTGGAAGAAAATGAGATGTGCAAAATCCAGATGGATCTGTTACCAGTAACCTTGGAGTATTCTAATATATTCTAATATACGTGAACAGCACGACATGCCCATCTGAGCACCGACCCCGGGTGCCAAGATTCTTTCTAGGCTCCCTCCGCGGCTTTGCGCTTCTTGGACTTGGCTTTAGCCGATCCTTTGGGCGCGGTTGGATCCTTCGGAGTCGCCTTCGCAGCTCGGATCAAGCTGTTTGCTACCTTGCTGGGCCTCTCATAACGCTTCGCGATATCGAGATATCTGGTAGCAATGGGAAGATAGACCCCATCATCGTGGACCAGCTCAGAGATGAGCTTGTCCACCTGGTCGTAGATCGCCCTTGGCCGTATAGTACTGGGTTGGGGCCACATGAGCGTCTGTCAAGACTTCTTGTTCATATGGCTAGACCAGGGTAGCCTGCCCTGTGGGGCAGAGGCTCATAAAACAATCTAGTAGGTATCAATGCAGCCAAGGCACTGGAACTCCTGCTCGAAGTTGGTCATCTCCTTGAGGCATTCAGTCGCATAGCTGACTCCTTTCAACTGCTTCCGCATCGAGCCAGCGTGGTTGGCCTTCGAGAGGGCCCGCCCCCTTAAGTCTGCCGCCTTGTCCAGCGGTGTAAGTTTCTCCACTCGTGGTGCTTCCGGCTCAGTTTCACCGTCTTCGTCTTTCTCTTTGCCGCTGGCTTCATTTTTCCTGGCTTTCTTTGGTTTTTTGTTCGGAAGTGGCTTTGGGTCCTCCTCCATGTCCACATTGTCCTCATCATCCTGGCCGGGCCCTGTCAGCGCCCGCCGGGGCACACTGAGAATTTGTGCAACGTTGGCAGCGTCACCCGCACGAACTTCTCCGGAAGCAGTGAAACTGCTTCCTCGGATTCCGTTCGCATGAATGCACGAATGCTACATAAATGTTGAAGTCGAACATAACTGCATGCACGATGTATGAATGCAAGCAAGAAACGTTCTTCTGTGCCTCTCGTCCATTCCCTCTGCCACTCGTTGTGCAAGTAAAGCTTGAGCCCTTTACAATTGGGATCATCAACCTCCAAACCAGCCTTCCTTTTTTCCTCCATCACCTTCGCAGCATTGACCGCACCGTACTTGCCGATCAATTCCTGTTCCGTCAAAGGTTTCATCTTTCCCTTTTCCTTGTCCGTCCCCACAGAAATGGACGATGCAGTCCACTGCCCGACCAGCTCATTTTCGTCTCCTCCTGCAGCGACGATCAAGTCGATGGCTTTGCTCTTTGAATCTTCGTCCCGCACCAACTTTGCCAAGTCATCAGGCAAGGCTTGCATCCTCTTTGGGTTGCCTTTCAGGCGATTCAAGAACATGGCGGCGTTCTTTCGGTTGTAGAGTGGCGCAGAACCTTGGACCAAGCCGTCGCTTGCACTGCCAGGCGTTGTTTTTGCACTGCCAGGCGTTGTGATTGCACTGCCAGGCGTTGCAGGAGATGGCGTACCAGGTGCCTCCACCATGCGTGGGGTTGCAGGACTTGACCAACCCATCTTCGCACTGACATCATCAAAGGTCGGGGCATTAGGGGCCGGAGGAACGGCACCCCTGGTGGTAGGGGCCGGAGGATCGGCACCCCTGGTGGTAGCGGCCGGAGGATCGGCACCCCTGGTGGTAGGGGCCGGAGGATCGGCACCCGTTGTGGTAGGGGCCGGAGGATCGGCATCACTGGTAGGGGCCGGAGCTGGCGTTGCTGCCTTCGGCTTGATCAGTTTTGCAAGCTCATCCTTGCAGAACTGCTTGCAACCCTCATCCCCAGTAGCCATAATGTCCTGCAAGAGCTGTAGCTTTTGCAACTTTGTCGCGTTCATCGGCAAAGCCTGGTATTTTTTGCCGCCTGTGTTGCCATGTCGACCTGACAGTGGCGGATTTAGGCTTTGGGGTTTAGGGTTGTATAAAATTTAGGGAGTTAAGGCTTCGGGTTTAATGTTGAGGTTCTAGGTTATGGGGTTTATACTTATGGTTTAGGGGTTAAGGTTTCTTAGTTTCTTACAAGTCGCACGGCCTCCACCTTGGCTTTATCAGCGTCTTCCTTTTCCTTGGCCTTGTCCTTGGCCGATCTCATATGTTCGGCCTCCTCCTTGTCCTTGGCCAATCTTGCCAGCCTGAACTGTTCCCTTTCCTTGGCCAACCTGGCATTCTCAGCTTCCTCCCTTTCCTTGGCCATCCTGGCTTTCTCAGCTTCCTCCCTTTCCTTGGCCAGCTTGGCTTCCTCCATTTCCTTGGCCATCCTGGCTTTCTCAGTTTCCTCCCTTTCCTTGGCCAGCTTGGCTTCCTCCATTTCCTTCGCCATTCTGATGGCTTTCTCGGCTTCCTCCCTTTCCTTGGCCATCCTGGCTTTCTCAGCTTCCTCCCTTTCCTTGGCCAGCTTGGCTTCCTCCATTTCCTTGGCCATCCTGACTTTCTCAGCTTCCTCCCTTTCCTTGGCCAGCTTGGCTTCCTCCATTTCCTTGGCCATCCTGGCTTTCTCAGTTTCCTCCCTTTCCTTGGCCAGCTTGGCTTGCTCCATTTCCTTGGCCATTCTGATGGCTTTCTCGGCTTCCTCCCTTTCCTTGGCCAACCTGCCTTTCTCAGCTTCCTCCATTTGCTTGATCATTTTGCTTACTTTCTCAGCTTCTTCCTTTTCCTTGGCCAACCTTGCTTTCTCAGTTTCCTCCCTTTCCTTCGCCATTCTGCTGGCTTTCTCAGCTTCCTCATGTTCCTTGGCCAACATGGTTTCATCCTCCAGTTCCTTGGCGACCCTGGCAAAATCAATTTCAAGCTCTCGCTTTGGAGATTTTCTGATCGCATCATCCTCGCGTTCCTCGAGCCCGACCTCACGCATGAGATGCTCCAACGTGGCATCAAAGCCATCCTTTGTACCTGTGATCGAAACAAACCAGAACATGTGCACACTGAAGCTGCAACAAAACGCGAGTCATGGATGTCCTTCTGTCTGCAAGTCAGCAGGTGGCAGATCGTACTGGGTCGGCTGGGCGTCCTGGAAACAGATATGGCGCGTATCGGAAACAGGATGGGTTTGGCGGGATTGAAGTCCTGGGAGGAGATGTCCATCTCGCAGCCGTAGAGCTGAGACTCGAGTTCTTTCATCAGGTCCTGCTCCTCTTGCGCGTCGATCGTGGCCTCCGTCTGCTGAGTGTCCTAGATAGGCGGCAGCATGTTTGTTTGCTTTTCTTCCAGTTCCCTGACCCCGAATGGTCCTGCAGGAAGGTGTCCGAAAAGCCCTGCCCAGCCACTCCGCCAGCAGCAGCCCCCGCCCTCATAGCGGTGTTCAGAAGCCGCCCGAACTTCGCCGGGTCGTTCTCGGCTTCTCCCGAAAGAGCGTCAAGCTGCTCCAGCTTCACTCGCATGGGGTCGTTCGCCATGCCCTGGAATTCCAGGGCCGCCTACGGGAGCCCCTTCCCAAACACCTTGAATACAAAAGATGCTGCCATGCTGACATTGACCAACACGCAGCAACAGAAAGCGGAATGCAAAGATCCAAGCGAGCAGCAACCTAAAGCAATACATTTGAGCAACTTGGGGCAGCCAACCAAGGCAGGAAATTCAATTTTCATCCGCCGCGGGTGCACAGAGCGATCTATCGTCCATAGCGACGAACAATCTCTTCCAGATCTCCTTTGCCGAAGATTTCTCCCGATTCCGTGACATAGGTGAAGTCGTCCCCTCCCCAACGTCTCATTGTCTCCAGCTGCTTCACGAAGTGGTTGATCTCTTGTTGGGTATAGATCTTCGGAACCTCGGCGGCGGCTGAGCTCGAGACCGCCGGCTGTTGAAGAGCATCATCCTTTTCGGTCTTCTCGGGTGGCCGCGTCTTCTTGGGTTTCTCGGTCTTCGCATCATTTTTCGGCAGCAAGAAGCCTTTCTTCATGGTGTTGGAGGCAAGGGATCCAAAATCTCGAGCACCACCGGCTGCAGCATTGCGAACACCGCCTGGCTTTCGGTGATTCAGCTTCTGCAATCGGTGCTTCAGCTTCTGGCCGTACGAAAAGGGTGTTAATGAATTTGTGTGGCGTGGCGAGGTGCCAACGGCCGTTCTCTGCCTCCGGAGGGGTGGCGCAAAGCAGCCAAACCTTCACCTACTACTACAGCTTCTGCAAACACTGCTTGGCTTTCGGTGCTTCAGCTTGTGCAAACACTGCTTGGGTTTTCGGGGCTTCAGCTTCTGCAAACACTGCTTGGGCTTTCGGGGCTTCAGCTTCTGCAAACACTGCTTGGGCTTTCGGGGCTTCAGCTTCTGCATACACAGCACATAAATAGTTTATCAGTTTTGCAAGTAGATCTTTGCAGTCCTGGCATCCAGGACGGTAAATATAGCGGTTATGCAGTCCTGGCATCCAGGACGGTACGTATAGTGGTTATGGTCCGGTTATGGTTGTGACACTGCGTAGGTTTTCGTAGTGCTAGTACTAGTAGAAGAGCAGGGCCGGAGGAACGGCACCCCTGGCGCTAGGGGCCGGAGGATCGGCAAACCTGTACTAGTAGTAGTAGTAGTAGTAGTAGTAGTAGTAGTAGTAGTAGTAGTAGTAGTAGTAGTAGTAGTAGTAGTAGTAGTAGTAGTAGTAGTAGTAGTAGTAGTAGTAGTAGTAGTAGTAGTAGTAGTAGTAGTAGTAGTAGTAGTAGTAGTAGTAGTAGTAGTAGTAGTAGTAGTAGTAGTAGTAGTAGTAGTAGTAGTAGTAGTAGTAGTAGTAGTAGTAGTAGTAGTAGTAGTAGTAGTAGTAGTAGTTCTAGTAGTAGTTCTAGTAGTAGTTCTAGTAGTAGTAGTAGTAGTAGTAGTAGTAGTAGTAGTAGTAGTAGTAGTAGTAGTAGTAGTATAGTAGTAGTAGTAGTAGTAGTAGTAGTAGTAGTAGTAGTAGTAGTAGTAGTAGTAGTAGTAGTAGTAGTAGTAGTAGTAGTATAGTAGTAGTAGTAGTAGTAGTAGTGCGACGTCGGCGAGGTTTGCCTTGGCTGGTTTTCGGGCTTTGGGTTAGGGGGTTTCGAGCTTGGTTTTGGACAAGCGGGATGCCCTGTGCCGACGGAGGATACGGCAAGCCGACGTGCTGCATCCTCGGTTTAAGGTTCAAGGGTTTAGTATTTAGCTGGGGTGATACGGAATTTACACGCCAAGCGGCTGCGTGCGCAACCATGGGGGCGTCCCCGGCGGCGTCAAGGTTAGGGCCCTTGGCTGCATGATGGAAGAGCTGGGGTGATACGGAATTTACACGCCAAGCGGCTGCGTGCGCAACCATGGGGGCGTCCCCGGCGGCGTCAAGGTTAGGGCCCTTGGCTGCATGATGGAAGTTAACGGGTTTAGCTGGGGTGATATGGAATTTACACGCCAAGCGGCTGGAACATTGGGGGCGTCCCCGGCGGCGTCAAGGTCATGGACCTTGGCTGCATGATGGAAGTTAACAGCTATACCCTAAAAAAAAAGCCAAGCTGCTGGAACGGCGGCGTGCCCAGGTCCGACGGGGTTATCGGGATAAACGTCCCATTTGGCGGCGTCCTGGGTTCCGGGCTTTGAGGGTTTAGGGCGAGGGCACGGATCCTGACCAGGAAATGCCAAGCGGCGTCACATCGATAACCACCGGCGGCCTTTGCATAGAAAGGGGCGTCCTCGGCTTCACCATAGACAGAGAGAGCCATTGAGTTCAAGAGAGAGAGAGAGAGAGAGAGAGAGAGAGATCAGGAAAGCGAGTGATAAATTTCAATGAGCTCTCACCGAGGAGAAAACAGAAGCCCAGGCACATCGCTGCCGGTCTCGGCCGCATCATTGTCTGCGACATCCTGAAGGGGGTCGATCGATCATGTTTACAGGACTTAGGTGGTTTTTTTTAACGGTTTTAGCTAGGGAGCTGGTGTTCTGAGCTAGGTTTTGCCAAGAAGCCGAAAGAAAGCTTCGGGCGGTGGTGTCGTTGGCTGGGCCGGACCCCTTAGGGTTGAAGGCCCGGGGCACGTAGAGAGAACGATCGAGACAGAGCCAAGCGACAAGACATCCATCATCGACCAGGGCGGCGTCATGGGCCTTAGGTGGCTTTAACGGTTTTAGGGTTATGGTGTTTTGAGCTAGGTTTTGCCAAGAAGCATGAATGCTTCAGGCGGAGTTTCACCCCCCGGCGGAACGTAGGGCCACATGATCGATGATGGAGAATTTGAACTGGCGAGGAAGTATGGGGACAGAAAGAGGCTATGCATGAAGTTCGCTAATTTCGCAGAGGCACGGCGCCATGACTCCGAAGCCCACGGAACCCCGGGAGGATGGTGTCCTTAAGGGTGTCCTTAGTGTCGGGCATTAACGCTTGGTTAAGGCGTGCAATATCAAGAACTTCGCCAAAGCACTGCCCATTGCCATGTCCCGATGAACCCATGGAGGATGTTGTCCTGGGCGGGTGATCGCATTATGGCTGAAGGGTTTACGCTCGCAATTTTCGCAAAGGCACTGCCCAGTGCCATAGGCTCCTCGTCCACCCCTTGCCATGCCCAGCGTCCTTGGGTTCGGCAAGTATGGTTATAAGGGGTTTCAAGTTAATTTAATTTCGCAGAGGCACGGCACCATGACTCCGGGGCCCACGGAACCCAGGGAGGATGTTGTCCTTAGTGTCGGGCATTAACGCTTGGTTAGGGCGTGCAATATCAAGAACTTCGCCAAAGCACTGCCCAGTGCTTTGTCCCGAGGAACCCATGGAGGATGTTGTCCTGGGCGGGTGATCGCATTATGGCTGAAGGGTTTACGCTCGCAATTTTCGCAAAGGCACTGCCCAGTGCCAAAGGCTCCTCGTCCACCCACTGCCATGCCCAGCGTCCTTGGGTTCGGCAAGTATGGATATAAGGGGTTTCAGGTTAATTTAATTTCGCAAAGGCACCGGCCGTGGCCGACCTCAATCCATCTTCCATGTTGCATCTGCCAAACCTGACAGCACTCGAACCGTATGGTTTCGGGTTTAGGGTTTGAGGGTTTTCGGGTTTAGGGTTTTTCGGAATTAAGGGCAGTCGAGCCGCGCCCGTCAGTGATGGAGGCGTTAGGGCAGGCGGCGACGGCGGCAGCGGCAGCGCTCCATCAGGCGGCGACGGCGCCAGCGGCAGCGCTCCATCAGCAGGTGCAGGCAAAGCCCTGCACCCGCGGCGGTTCTCAATGGGAAGCATGAATGCTTCCTATTGATTATTTTGGTGCTGCCTGGAGCATGCCTATGCTTGTACATGATGCACATGGAATGGCTCCTCTGCCATGGAGCCCGCTATGCGCATCGTCAAGCAAGCTTGCACAACCGACCAACCGACCATGCATTGAATGCAAGTCATAAGCACAAGCTCGGTCCTTCTTCCTCACAGTCGATGATCTCGATGACGATGGATCAAGTACCTGCGACCGGCCAGGTGTGAAGCAAGGAATAAAGAAGATCCGGGAGCCCAGGGTGGCACGCACTCGCGATGGAGGTCGTCGATGATGCCATGCCTTAAGGCCCTCGATCGAGCACTATGGGCGAGGCAATTGCATGGTATAACTGCCGTGAATATCTGCTGTGGAATATTTGTACACAGGTGTATTCCAGCAGTGCCTTTGATCTAGGCTGCCGAGGCAGACTCTAGACTTTAGAGCGATTACGACAAATGCCTTCGGGCAAACAAGCACAAAATCAATCTTTGGTCAAGCATATTTGCAACCAACCTGAAGTGCACAGGCAAACCAATGTCGCATTTTGCGGTTCCCTCGGGCATTCAATCACTTCCCCTACTGGATTCCAACAAGTCATGTACACCTCCAGGCCGAGCGCTTGCATGAACGGCGCTGGCAGATTTCCAACAATTGAAGCTCCTGGAGAGCAGCACCTGATCCTCCAAAACCGATAGACGATCCATCACTGAGTTCAAAAGCCAATTGGTGCGCAAGGAGATCCTGATGATTTGAAGCTGCATGCTGTGCGCATGCCTACCCACCACACTCAGTGTGTCGGTACTCCAGGAATGATCACTGACCTCCTCACCAGTCAGCTCTGGGACCGCCGCGGATTGTTCGCCCATCTTGAGGCCTAGAGTAGAATGCTCCAGGAATTAAGCCACATCTGACTTATTCTCCCACGCTCTGAGATACGCACGGGTGGGATTTAGCGAGGCAGAGTGCCTACGGCCTTCAATGCTCTTCGCAGCTGCGGCATATTGCGGGACTTCTGTACAGACTCGACAGACCTACGGCTTCAAATGATCTATATGCAGCTTCGCACAACCAACAAGCCAGGCCAATCAAAGCAACTAGGCACCCGATCGACCAAACGAGCAAGCACGCCAAGCCATGAGTCGCAACCAAGCATGCAAGCACAACAACCGACCAAGCGAACAAGCTGTACAGCAAGCCTTCAAGCAATCAACCAACCGACCGACCGACTGAAAA